ATTTCTATATTGTACATGTATACATGTACCGGGAGTGTACCAGTACACTCTATTTAATCTATACCGAATGAAATTGAAAATCGAAATAAAAAGCTTTCTCTCAATTTGAGTACAAGATGAATGTGTGTGAACGTGAACAGTCTACAGCAGTACAGACACACATGTTAAAGTGTTAAACCTGCTTTTTTTTTCTTCCGTAAGTTCTGGTTCAGGGAAAACAGTTTGTTCAGGTTTGAGTGGACATGTACCGGTATGTACTGAGTTTCGAGTACACACAAACATGCACCAGTACATGTACATGATACAACTGAAAAATCATGTCCATGTACCCGGTATGTATTACTAAGGGAATTCCCATTCACATCTGTTGGCCCGTGCCGGGTATCCGGTACCTGTCCATCGACATCAAAACCTGGTTCCTGGTGGGGGGGGACAGGTGCTCATAAAAAGAATTTTAAAAAAATACATGTACATGTAAATAAATTAGGGACAAAAATCCATGTATAAAACATCTGTGAAATTTACATGTAGTACTGAAGGGCAGAATTGCTAAAAAATCACTGTAACGCTGAAAACACGGTCATATGAGTACCGGTACATACAACTGGTTTAGAGATCAACAGAGCTACTGGTACTATTGTAATCCACTCCGCCCGTTGTACTTCAGTCGTTTCCTAGTTGTGAATTTTTCCTGGTTCATGGAGATTTACAATAATTTCAATGCCCTTCAAAGCATTTTGGTGGTGGTTTTTCAATCAGAAACTTCAACATACCAGTAAGTGGATAAAGTGGTCCGGGTATTGTTTGCATTACAGAGGTAGTATTTTACATAAAAGCTTTTTAACCCATGACATACGCAGCACTGATCTGGCCGACACATGACAACGACCAGCGCTCACCATCTGTACACGTGCGTTCCGCGTGTACAGGGTCGTACATCTAGACGTTTCCTTTGCGAGGTACAATGTAGCTGGTGCGTAGGTGGTTTGCAGATCTGTTGTCTGTTCTGATGATGTTCCTTGTCCAAACTTTTGTTTTTCTGTTTCATATACCGGTACAAGTTTACAAAAGAAGATTTTGCAAATTGAAGGTAACAGTTTTGTTTGATAAAAAGTAGGAGAGATTTACCCTGACGGTTAGAACAATGTGCTGTTTGCTTTGTATGTACAAAAAAAAGCTCTCTTTCCAGCACATGGTCCACCGGAGTTGCGCGCAGTACCATTTGTTATTTAAGTGTTCTCTTTTACGGGTACCCGACGTCCAGTTGATGGTACATGTGCAACAACCGGTAGTTCAGAAGAATATCTTTATATGGACTCGGCGCGCCAATGGCGAGTTCCACATGCCGCGCACACACCCTTGACCAATCGGAATGGATTAAACTGTCTCGTATCCAGGTGCCAGCGTTTGTTTTACGTAGTGGGCTTTGTCAAATAGCGGTATATGTTAATGCATGGCCACATGACACGTTTCAACCAAACGAAATACACAAACTGTCCCAGGAATTTATGAATAGAATTTTATGTCAACCACATGTACAAGTGGCACCAACCTTGCCAAATGGATTCACAGAATTTCTGGGACTTTTCACATACATGTATTCATTCTTTTTTGTTAATTTTGCCCTTTCAAAGTAACCATAGGCACAATGGAAACTGCTTACGCACCTAACATTTAATTGACCAAGTCTTTTGTGTATAGATGAATTTATTTAAGGACAGCCGAATAAGAGATCAATACTTCGTATCGATTTGGGAAATTAAAGGTTAGCCTTTTTATACATGTATAGTACTCAGTTTTAATTTAGACTTTTGATCAGTTACTTACCAGTGCGTGTGTATACATGTACATGTACATGGACTCTGTAATTGGAAATGAAAAATCCCTTATTTGATTCCCAGTTTTGTCAAACTCGAAGCACAGGTAATTATTACCACAAATTGCTGGAGATTTCTTCGGGACATTCTCAAATGATAATTAATACAAGTGTACGCATACATGTGCACACGCGGTCATTGCAGAAACAGCAAAATTATCCTTAAATGGGAGGATTTCAAATTGTTTTGATGTCTTGCTTGCATTTCTGATAATGGCCACTGCTGTGCCACATTGAGGGGCATCACAATAGTGTTAAGGAATTTATGGACTTACATGTAGTATCCTACACAGAAAATTTGTTCAAAGTACATTGTACATGTGCGTGCATCTGACTTGACTGCTGGACTGACGAATGCTGCCATGCCAACCAGCCTGCACCACTTCATTAGATGGCCTTATTATAATGCCTTTGTGTTTCCATGGTGATGGCTCTCTTAAGCTACATGTAAGAGTCTAATAAGCCGATAACCATTTTACTCCTGTGTAATTTATGGCAAAGTTTCCAAGCGTTGTCAGATTTCCCAAAGTGTCCACGTGCGCGCAACTTTTTTTGGGGGGGGGTTGCTGAAGTTTTAGGTATTTGGGATCTGTTTGAAATTGAGTGCACAAGAGAATGAGAAGAGGCAAACCTCCCACAATTATTGCCAAAAAGAGTTTTACCCTGCACCTTGGTCTTGACACAAAAGGTTTCCCTGAGGGTGCACACCCACAGTTCACTGTGATGCCAATAATCACCATGCAGGGGGGCAAAAAGACCCAATCCAGAGCATTTGGAACCTTCTTTTACATGTACATGTACGTGTACCGGTACATGTACGTGTACATGTACAACATGTACGTGCAAAAATGAAAAACAAAATTGGTGGCTTGAGAGCCCTTCTTGCTGTCATGCGAGAGCACACGTGCACACACCATATGGCAGTTGTGCATGTATGTTTGCATAAAACACACTGACATCAATTACTGTACTTTCTAATTAAGGAATGCACATTGCTGACATGTATGAGCAAACATGCACTGGTATATAACACTTAACGCTTGCCCTTTCACTAATGTTGACATTCACATTACTTGATGATTTATTGATGTATTCTACAGCAACTGGGCCATAATGGTGTTTTAAAGCATGTGTACATGTACATATACATTCATACATGTACAGTTCTGTACGTACACGTACACTGTACCTCCACATGCACCCTTGTACTTGTGCATGTAATTTAGTGACAGTAAACTAGACAGTAATTACTTGTAAATTCAAGATTCCATCTGTCAGTCACATTTATTACCAAATGGCTTATATTTACATGATAAAGTAAACTACATGTAGATACATGTACATGTAGGTTTGCGGTAGCACCATGGATATATCTATTTTTTGAATATGTGGGGTTCTGAAAAGAATGGTTCTTTTCAGAACCCCATATACTCAAAAAACAGATATATTCCTGGTGCTACCGCAAACCTATCTAGTTTACTTGCTATCTCCAACATGAAAAGCTTCAAATCTCATTTGCATATTAGTCCATCATGTGTGCTGAATGAATAGTGCATTCTGTCCGCCCTGAGCTGAAGTGCACCCCCAATTTGGCGAAAGAAAGACAGGTGGTTACAAGCGGGTTCTTGCATGCGTTCTGTGTGTATGCAAAGACCCTATACATGCCGGAATAAAAAAGTTACGCATACTCAGCGTACTCCGCGTCAAATGCGCCTATACTTGTGCCTCATGGCATGCCAATGCGGTGAGTACCAAAAAAACATGCCCTCTTTTGTTCCACTCGGAGTGGATTTGCAAATTCAGAAGCAAATTTACTGGCAGCTACATAGCCTACATGTACATGTACATTACATGCGGCTACAATACCGGTAAATGTACAATGTAGATGTATGTGCATTGAGCTAAATCTTTCGCTGACAGAATGACAAAGTTTGCCATTTCGCAACCCTGTAAGGGGACTGTGGTGTGTTTTGTACAGACTGTTTTGTTTCTGCTGCCCGTACAATCATTTGCCGTGGCCATCAGGCCTCAACATTAATTTTTTTAACTACATGTCCATCAGGCAAGTAGCACTGAAAATTTACTTGCCCGAACCCTGGTTTAGTTTCTCATTGCTTCCTGGGACACTAAGTTCCTTCATCCAGTCACCAGTGATGAAATTGCTACATGTACACCACATTACGAAATGAATATACATCACCCCCCAACTATCACATGCAGAGAGGGCACAGGACTCTGCTGCATCTTTCATACAAGAGCGGGCAATGGCTATTTCTTAATCACTCAACTATTTTGCCTGGTGTCATATATGCAAAAAAGTACACACACAAGTACCAGGCAAAATTCACTAATGTTGAGGTCACAGCCACATGTAACTTGGAGTTTCCAGCTGTCAAAGCTCTACTGCACCACGCATGCAATAACCAATGAGCTTTGGTACCCAGACACAGGGGTATTTTACAGTTTATTGGTGTACACATTTTCCTTTGTGTGGAAAGGTGTTTAATACACTCGAGTTTGTACAGTGTGTACATATACGTAACGTTGCAAAAAATCGTTCTACGCCACGTAGCTGTATACTTTTTCCACTTTTTATAAGTTTTTGAGAAGAGGAAAAAAAACAGAGGTAACTTTGTTGCTATTCTTGGCCACGAAAAAAAATTTCAGAAAAAAGTACCTGTCCATGATCGGGCAATTTGTCCCAGAATTGTACTTGCCCGAAAAAAGAAATTACTTGTCCTGGGCAATCGGACAGCCATTAATGTCGAGGCCTGCCGGCCATTGTCACTCCAATTGCCATACCAGTATCTGAACCAACCAGGCGGCCTCCAGCAAGTGCAGTATTTATGTGTTGAGACACTTTCGTTTTCACATTGTGAGCTGGGAGTTATGGAGGAATTTTAACAGGCTTCTAGACAGCACTTAATATACAGTGTTGTACACGCACAGGTTGATTTTCTGCCAAACTACGGTGGCATCCGTGCCACTGGTATGTGAAGCATGCCATCTCTTGTTCCCACACAGAGGGGATAAGGTACACGAACATGTACAACTCTGCTGGTTTGGATATGTAGTAAGCAATTTGTAAGCGTCAAATGTTGCCCTTTTGATTTCTCCTGGGCAGGTCAACCTTAGTCAGCCACCCGTATTCTTGAAGCTCTGCTCCTGACACGGCAAAAACAAACAAGGCACCCTTGACATGGAGCAACCCATGGACCAAGGGATGGAGGAGGGTAGCAACAACGACATGTACAACACCCTGGCCAACTTCAGCATCGAGAAGAAGATCGGCAAGGGCCAGTTCAGTGTGGTCTACAAGGCCAAGTGTCTGGTGGACAACAGAAATGTGGCTCTCAAGAAAGTCCAGGTATACAGCCATAATTGCATAGAAGGTGCCCATTCTTCAAGCACATCAGTATTTATCTTGGATCAGTGTAGAGTGCGTCTGAGAGGGTAACCCAGAAAGCGAAGCCTAAAATGGGATTTTGCCTTGGAGAAAGATTCTCCTTGATATGTCAGGCCCTCCAAGTGACATTATCATGTAAGATGGCTGGCATAAGTGCAACTGAAGGCTTACTGTATGCTTGAATTTAGTTGAAAATCCCACTCTCGATCAATCTGTTTTGCTGGCTGATTTTCCACTCATCCTTGTGAACCAGGCATTTATATATGTTGGTGATATGTTTTCAAACCCTTCATTGTTCTCCTGCAGATCTTTGAGATGATGGACGCCAAGGCCAGACAAGACTGCATCAAGGAGATCGACCTCCTAAAAGTGAGTATACTGAGAAGCAAGGTTTAAGCAAGTCGCCATCAATAATAATGGTCATAAAGATTAGAGAGTACATTTGCAATGCAGATATCCTATAACAGAAGCCATCAAGGAACTAAAGTATAATGGGCCTCCGTCATGAGGCCTAAAGAAGCTTTCCTAAAGACACAACATGTATCCACTCTCAGGAAAAACACAGCTTGTCCTTAACAACATATTGAAACACAGCAATCACATGGCCCAGTGACAAGGGAAGGAAAAGTCAGCAGAGCTACTCTTAAAGCAAATCTTGCGCAGTGGAAACAAATCCATGTTGCACCCACCTTCAATCCATTCGCATCAGGATGACAAAGTGAGTCATTTCAATGTGATGAACTGGGTGTATTCCTTTAAATGCAGGTATGGAATATGAATAAGTGAGAGAAAAATCCTATATTAACCACTTCCTACCAGGGAGCCCGGTTTGGGGCACTGTGTGTTTATACGCAGAGCCGGGGTGCCCATACAAAAGACAGCCGGACAAAAGAGCTGGTCTGTGTAACAAAAGACTGTACTCGGAACAAAGGACCTGCTGCTGGGAATTGCCATCATTTTTCGCCTTCCATTTTTGAAGGTAATCCGGCACTATTTTGAAACAGTATACCACTGTTTTGGGCATAGCGTGCCCACGGATTGGCACCGTGGACAAACGTGCTCCAGGGCCCCATTGGTGAGCGACACAGCGCCGCTGCTCGCTAATCCAGCCAAGTATGAAAAGACGCTACTGGCATTCACCAGAACAAAGGAAATTATGCAACACCACACAATTCTGGGCGCTCTTTTACAGGGCTGCAGGCTTGGGTTGAATACTCGGGCATCAAAGAAGGTTGCCTGACAGATTAGAGTAGCCACCAGAGAGTCATTGGTGTGGGTGTAAACATCCAGTAAAATGAACACATAAATTTTTGAAGAATTTTGAAAACGGAAAATCTTGAATAGGTCCCGCCATCACATCCTGCTTAAGAGAAATCCACCCGGCAGGTAGTGGTTAAAAACAAATGCCTTGTTAGACATGTACATGCATTTTCACTGGTGCCCATTCATTTCACAAGCAATTATCGACTAAATGTTTTGCATGACATCACACACACACCATTTCCACTGACTGAATTCACACACATTGTCCACAGAAGCTCACCACACCAGATCTCATATTTTTTCTTGGAGGGTTTGCCTTTTCTCAAGCAGCTTGAGAAATAAGTCTGATGCAGTGCAGCTGCAGCACACTGCACAGGCGGAAACCAATTTTTTATTCTCGGTGGCCCCGCTGCAAGCTCGTAGTCAATATTGACAAATGATTTTCACTTTTTTTCCTCTCCGAATGGTAACAACACTATGTGTTTGTAGAGCTCTCCTTATGGTTCAAAGGCTGCTGTGTTCTGCATCACTCAATGTATGCCTTAGTAGCTGGAGTGGACCCTGGCACGCAATGTCATTTCCCCAAGGCACGCACCGTGACAGAGCATTACGCTCGTTGGACACGTAGTTTTAACAACAACAAAAAAGCAGAGCGAAGCTTCATATATGCTTTGTCAAACTCATGTGTATCGTATTTGACAAATTGCTTTCCGGCCGTCTGTGTATTGCCACATGAAATTTTAAACACAGGTTGTATGAAAGAAACGTGAGGACGTGTGGGGCCAGCATTTTGATGAGATGCCTCAGTGTAGTAAGCCATAAATAACACTGGTCTACAGCCAAAATGCTTCCCAAACATGAGAGAAGTCAAACTTCACTACTTCTAGGTCACCCTGGATAGAAATGTTGCTTCCAATTGTTGACGGGCTCTAGTTTTCAAGATATTGTACTGCACTATACATTTACTAGTGTAAATGTATGGGAAAGAGCTACATGTAGGTTTACAATTTATGCTACGTGTAAGTACACCATATACAATGTACATAGTACATAAACTGAACACTTATATATCTTGCAAAAAGTAGCCAATCAAAAATGTTCATTGTCACATTTGAATTCAGCACATCAAATTCATCATAAATAACACATTTTATCACTGAAGCAGACAGCAAACATTGTTGACCTGGGTAACAAATCTTTACACCACATGTGTACAGACTCTGTATGTGTACATATACAGTTTCTGTATGCCGATTTCGTGCATGTACATTACTTGTGAATGCCCTACATCATCTTGGCTAAATGTCCAGCAGTACCTTTCTAAGGCTTTAGCTGTTAGCTGTTACATGATGCTAAACGGAATGTATGCACAAATTATCAGTGCAAACAGTCCAATGTAAACTTTGTAGTTGGTGTTTGTACCTCACTCCAGTACATCAATCCAGTTCTTTCTTTTTTTTTTATCTTTTCCAAACAGCAACTAAACCATCCCAATGTTATCATGTACTTAGCATCTTTCATTGAAAACAACGAGCTGAATATTGTACTAGAATTAGCCGATGCAGGGGACCTGTCCAAGATGATCAAGGTGAGTTAATTTACTGGATAAGTAACTTCAGCAGACTTTATAACAGCAGAACATATACAAATGCATACCTTGCCCTACAAATAAAAACATGGTACCTTTGTCGTCATCTGACAGCGAAATTGCTCTGCTTGAATCGACAGCATTTCAAGAAGCAGAAACGTTTGATCCCGGAGAGGACAATTTGGAAGTATTTCGTGCAGCTGTGTAGCGCACTGGCACACATGCATTCCCGCAGAGTAATGCACAGAGGTAAGCCTCGGGTCTGCAGAACACGTACTGGTACATGTT